TTAAGATATCATGCTCTGGGCACTGTGGGGCTTGAGGTAGGGGGACATGGGTGATTGCAGCCCTGTTTTGAGGGGGCTGGCATCCACCAGGCGTGGCACAGCTGGTGATGCCACAGTGCTGGGCTGACTTTGTGCTGGCAGTCCAGCTACATCATGGTGCCAGCGGTGACCCGGTGCCACCCACCCCCTTCACTTTCACCTGTGACCTGCAGAAATCCAACAGGTTTAAGGCTATGAGCATCTAGAATCACCATTTCAAGACACAGCCTGGAATTTTTCCTTTGGAAAAAAAAGTCCTTTGGAAGGTCTTGCCGGAGACTGAGCAGCACGGAGAAAAGACAAACCCCTCCTGTTCGAGGCAAGTGGGTATGGGAGGGAGTAGTTTATCCGTGAAAGCACCAATTTCCTCCTGACAACGCCTATTTGCTGCAAATGCCGTGAACAGCCCAAATTTCAGAGGGGGAAGGGCCCTGGCAATGGATTTATCAGGCTGTGCATTATCTCCCCAGAGGGAAGAGCATGCTGACCCGGAGACCTTCCGCGACGCTGTGGCACCACAAGCACCCGTGCTCCCCGCCTGGGGCAGCCCACCATGTGCTCTGCTGCTCTCACAGGCCCCGATTGTGTCCCAGCTAATCCCCAACTGCCACTTGCAGCCTCGTGCCTTCTTTGGTTACACCGTGGGGCTGGACAGGCCATGGGCAGGGGGGGACGTCATGTCTGGGGGACCTCCAGGGAGAGAAGCGTGGGGAGGGAGGAGAGGAGCTGCACCCCTGCATGGCTGGAGTTGTTGTTCGTGTACCCTGGTGTGCATCCCTGCCCATGGCATCCCTCTTCCTAAAATTCTGCCTACTCCCCCCCTTCCTGCCCACAGAAACCCTCCCTGCTCAACCCAGGGCTTTGGTTGCTCCTCTCCATCCTGCACAGGATGATGGATGCCCCGGCAGCTGCAGAGAGAGGCAGCTGTCGTCCTTCTCCAAGCAGGAGGACAAAGCCTTCGGCTCCTTCCCTGCCTTCCCCCAGAGCTGCCTGTCCAGGGCAGGACTGACGCCGGGAAACCTTGTGGTGCTGAGCTGATTATGGGATGGGGACAGAAATTCAGGATGCTCCTGCAGCATGATACAAGTTGGGACCACAAAAGCCAGCTCCAGAGCTTGAGTGGCGCTGGGGTGTCACGGCATGTCCTGTGAAATGGCAAGGCTTCAGTGAACCCCTTAGTAACACAGGTCACTCTTGCCCACGCAGAGCCGCAAAGACTGAGGGGCAGCAGGTTTTGGAGAGTTTGAAAGAAGGAATTGTTCAATAGAGGTTGCTTCTGCTTCACCCATGTTTCTCTGCCACCACATGGCAAGGCTGGCCAGCTGGGACATCTCCTGACAGCCTCCTATGCTCCCGCCTCCTGAGATTAAAGCCCACGATTGCAATTAGCCCCGGATCACTCTTCCTTGCCAACCACCGCTGCCGAAGCGTGCCAAGCACTGCAAGCAAGGCAGAACAGGTCCCAGCTGCTGCTGGTACACCGCGGCCCTTCGGCACGTCACCCTGGCTGGGCACTGGGGCTCCTCACCAGCCGGCACCTGGTGATGGGTCAGGGAGAGCTTGGTGGTCTGGGTGGTATCAGGGGGACTTCACTGACTGTCCTGATACTCCAGAGCATGAGCAAGTTTTTTTGTGTTTTTTTATTTTTTATTTTTGCCCTCACTTCTTTCACTTCTTACTGCTCTTCTGCGCAGACAGGAGTTTCTCTCTGCTTGGGAGCTTGGTAGCTGGGGTCCAGGCTCAGCTCTCTATCTTTAGCAGGCAGTAAACCTTTACATTTGGAAGGGCAAGTACAGCATCTCCTCTAACAGTGTTTGTCTCCCTGAATTTTCAGTGGTTTAGGGCACACTTCAGTTG